ATTCAAATCATAGAATAGTTATGAATCTTTTTCCATCAAAGATATAAATTTAAGAAAGAGTACTCTTAAGGAGAAGTACTTCAATGAATCTAACTTGAGTAAATCCATCATGATATTGAAAAGGGTGCAACCATAGATAAGGCTTTACTTGTTATAAAAACCATTAAAATTTTGATCTTGTTCCATTAAACTTCTCTAGCATACTTATCCTTATTTTTTTATATTTATAGTAACAAAACTTCTCAAATTTAATTATAAATTTTATTTTCTTATTTTTCTTAATTTCATAACTTTTTGGAGAAAATTTTAAATTTCATTATTGACTTCTTTCATAGACGTAGGAATAGTACTTCTATGATTTATATTGAAAATATAAGATATTTCTATTCTTAAAGTGTTGATAAATTCATGGATATCTGTAATAGTTACAAATCTATTTTCACTTTTGTTGATAGTAGCATCCATGATTTTTTTTTTTTATAGATAATTTAAACAAATTCAAAAAGTTAAATTAAAAGAGAATAATTTGTAGTCTCTAATATCAAATAAAAATTTCTACTAAAAGAGGTAATTTATCTCTCTTCAAAAATAAAATTCGTATTAGAAAACTAAACTATTTGTATAAAGGTAGATAATTTGTAATTTTCAAATTATAATAATAGAAATAAGATAATCCACTCACTTTTAAAATAAGTCAAGAATAATAATTTAGCACTCTTGTCAAACTGTCATAAATCTAAATCTCAAAGAAAAAAATCCTTAATACATTCTTGAGTCACTCAAAAAGATTAAGAAATTATTCAAAGATAATAATATATTGAATTAGAATAGCTATTGCTAAAGATAAGAAGAGTAGAAAGTCTTGAAGTAAGAGTAAAGACTTGAAAAGAGTTGACAAGAGTAAAGAAGGCTTCACTCTTACTTCTATATATACTATCTAATTAAGAGCTATGTGGTAATATTCTATAAAACCTCCAATATGTGTTGAATTTGCTAGCTACATGTTTTAACTTGCAAAGCAAGTTTTCTATATGTGTAATACATAATTAACTTGTTTTACAAGCTACCAACATGTGTGGCATGTGGTTCATTTGTTGACTAAGTTTTTAACCTATCAATCAACCATAAACACATGTAAAGTCAAAACTATCTCTATAAAGCTTTTAGAAACTTTCTTTAGAAGATATTATAAAATTAATCTATATTTATTTACTTTTATCTAATAATATTGATAATTATTGGAAAAAATACATATATCCGTGATATCTTATGTCCAGCAAATACATCCTTAACAATCAAAATTTATATAAGAAATCTCTAAGCAATCTAAAAGTAACAAAATAGAAGTAGGCAATAAAAGCCAAATATAACTCATCTTTTCAAAATGGCATATAGAGCCTTGTATTTCTTCTTCTTAGGATTTAATTATTTATTAGTAATATTCTTAGGATTTTGAGGCTATAAATCCATAAGCATTCATTCTTGTATATTTATTTTTGAATAGTCTATATGATTTAAAACAATTGAGCTACATATGAAACCAAATCTTTTACAATCTTTTCATGAAGTTTAATATTAAGTCTATAGATATCTATTTATATGCATATATTTTAAAAATATAACCTTACATCATCATCACATTCTTTGTAGATGATAGGCTTGCTATTTGCTTATCATAAGCCTAGTTCAATATCCTTGTATATTACATAGATGAGTATTTTGCAATCACTTGGTTTAATATTAACCTCTACATCAGATTACACATCTTCTACATAAAAACAAAGGGACATATTTTTATCCACTAAGCCATCTATCTCCTTTAACTCACTTTGGTTTTGGCAATTTTATTCCATTGAATATTCCTACTAATTCCAACATCAAATTAAACAACACATTCAAGCTTTTTTAGTCTCTTTTCTTCTATTCCATTACCATAGGTTGCTTCTTTTATGCAAAAATATTGAATCAACTTGACATCAATTACATTAAGAATATAATTTCTTACTTCTTGGTAAATCTCTAGCAGTAATATTATCAAGCTATTACTTGTATTTTTTGCTATTTTGTAGATACCATGCACTTTGCTTTATGCTTTATTAAAAACAATAAATCACTAATACTCAAAGGCTTTGACAACACTAACTATGCGAGTCATATAACAAATTATAAGTCTCTCATTGGCTTTCTTTTATTACTCAATGATACTCAAGTTTACTAGTATAGTTAAAAATAAAATTATATAGTCACTTCTACAACAAAATCCAAATACATTACAACTAATTTAACAATCAAGAATATTATTTGCCATCAATGTTTGCTTACAAATTTACATTTCTAACTCATTATCATATGGCATGATTTACAATTTATAAATATATTAGATACTTAATTATAGTGAATTTAACTTTAACTTATTGACCAAGTTTTAATAAGTGATTTATTTTTAATATAGAGGATAAATAAACACAACAATATCAAAAGATATTATACTAATAAAATCCTTTTATACTTAAGAAGATTTATATACAAGGCTTTCTAGAACATCTAAAAATTTCCTAACATCCAAATCATAATTAACCATTTGTTTGTAAATTAGATTTTCAATAATTTCGAAGAAAATCTATAATCTCCTTTCAAAAATTCATTTATATATCAAAATTTTATCATAGCTCCATATATCAAACTTTAAGAAATATATAAAGTTTTGACTCTCCAAAAAAAAATCCCTTGATTTATACAAAATATTCAAAATTGTAGCCAAAAACCTCCCACATCTTTTTTACCAATAAAGTTTTTTTTTTTTTTAACTTTAAGATTTAATATCTGTTGATTTAACCATTCAATTCTCTTCAAATTTATTAACAATGTAGCTTACATCCTCAAGCTTTACCACTAAAATGCTCTAAATCCTAATCTACAAGGACTTGAGTATTATTTTCTTCATATTTCAAAAATCCAAAATTTAAATGCCACAAAATTTGATATATAGCTTTACAACATAGTAATATATATATTTATAGAAAATTTTAGCTAAAGATTCGTTGAAATACCCATGATATGGCTAAAACCAAATCCTTCATAAAATTAGTTCAGTGACAAACCTCAATTTGAAAGTGTTGTCTTCAAATAATTGTTCCTCCTTCAAATCAATTCAAATCTTTTTTTATTTGTATGAAAAATGTGGTCTTTTAAATCAGCTTTTCAATCACATAATCTGATCTTCAAAAGTCCTTTATGTGCATAAGCTATCCTCCAAAGTTAGACAGTGGATACAAAATCAATAGCTTGACTTTTAGTGCCTATATCTCTTTCACAAAAACTCCAAATTATACAAAATTTATACCAAAACTATATCCAAAATCCTAAAATTGATGATCCTCATCTTTCATATTCAAATGTCCTCCAAAGAATAATCCTAATTCCTAATATTGCCTCAAACAATCTCCTAATACTATTCAAGCAACCAAACTTTTCTTCAACAACCTAAGTGCCATATGATTAGTGTACAATCTCAAATTCCATCGTTGCACAAAGCATATTGATGTTATATATTATTTTATTTAAGAACATTAATGCCTTAGCAATATTAATATTCAATATATTTCCACCGCCAATCAATTAGCCGACCTCTTGATAAAAGCTCTCCTTCTTGATTAATTTGCTTTACTTCAAACATCCATCAAATTATTTCTTTTATTTATAACAACATCCATGGACTAACTACATTTATGTTGTTTTAATACTATAGCCTAGTATTGTTAAAATCTACCAATCTAAAAAAGAGTGTTGAAAACATTACGTTGTACCTATTTAGACACTCAAGTGTTTAGAAACCATATTTAATTAGTTGAGCAAATAATAATGATCACATTATTTTAAGTGTTGTTATGACCCACTATTTTAAATGCATGAAGCTTTGTGCAAAAAGAGTACTCTCCATTTCTACATGATGAATGAAAACAAGTCTCTTATATTAAAACATTGTATGATCCAAGTTGAAGCATTTGAGTTCTTTTTCTTTACTTTCAACATTCCACTGGATTTGGAGTCCTGAGTGCAGCCATTGAGCAACATCTGCAGATATTTGCTACTAATTAGGGTTGTTGCTGCACATCCTGTGTTCTCAGGTTCAAAGACTTCGGAACGTAGGGTAGTATCATCTCCTCACCTTACTTTCCCTTCATAATTCTTTTTACATTAGTCAAGAGAAACTGAACTTGTTACATTGAGTTACTTCTACAATCTAGTACGAAGTTGTTTCGTCTGAAAGCTCTCTATTAAACGGAAAATAATAATCCTAACTTTTGCTTCAACGTAAGGTTGTCAGAATCTTCTGCATTGGCATCGACTGCTCACATTGTTTAATCAACTTCACCCAAAACACTCGCAACTATCTGGAAGTTCACTGTCAGTAACCATGAAAACAGTTCACAAGAATAGATGTGCGTGCGATAATGTTTACTTCCATGCCCAAAACTGAAGCATCCAGTTCAATCCTTCGGAGAATAATTTCAAATGCACCCTACACAAACGGAAATGTCGATGTGACCGCTCCAGGCGCGATCCACACAGGAAACGTCATCAATCTTCCACAGACGCTGAGCATGCATTTCGTCAAGCCCAAAATCCTTCAACCTGAATGCACAGATGCTTCATCCGATAAGTAGTGGCAACAGATCAAGCTACATGTGCACTCTGGCCAACTGACCATGTACAGGCCAATTACAACACACCGACCTTGTTCAACCAATTCTACACCAACAGCCCATCTCTCAAAACACAAGTCACATGCTCACATTCCAAGACAGTTCCTTTTCCGATGGATACTGTCAGCGTTCAGAGTGACGATGAAATTAGACAATGCGATGGACTAATGGAAAACTGATGGCCAATTCGTTGCTTCTTCTAGTGAACAGAATTGCAACATTCCAAATGGAGCATGAGATTATGGGCAAGACATCCTTACTCGCATTTGTCTCGACTTTGTATTCGTCTCGAGATCAATAAGTTGGTGGTGACGACTTCACGTACGGTGGAGGAGATGACTTGGGCACTGGAGTAGGCGGGGATTTCTTCTCATAAGATGGAGGAGGTGGAGACTTGTAGACAGGGGGAGGAGGTGAACTCTTCACATATGGAGGGGGAGGAGACTTGTACACTGGAGAAAGAGGAGGGGAGCTCTTCACATATGGAGGAGAAGACTTGTTCAGTGGAGGAGGTGGAGATGATTTGTATGCAGGCGGAGGAGGTGACTTGTACACAGGAGGAAGCGGCGACTTCAGCACTGGAGGAGGAGGCGAAGACTTGTACAGTGGAGGGGGCGGAGAGCTTGTGGAAGGAGGAGGAGGGGGAGGGGATTTGTTCACACCATGAGAATTCTTGTGTCCATATCGTGGAGGAGAGTTGTACTTGCGCGGCGGTGGAGACTAGTATTCGCGACCCCTTCCGTAGCTCCGCGTTGCTGTTGCCGGAGTGACTGCTAGCGAGGCGAGGAGGAGCACCACCACCGAACACAGTGCCATGGAGCTCAACGCTCCGGAAGATTTGCGACTCATGACTGCAAGCCCTGCAGTTAACGTGGCAGAATCAGCTGCCTGCCTGACGACTCAAAGTCTACTGGAAGTGTGATCTCCCTGGAGTGACTCTCAGTGAGCTCCGCATCCCAGAGCACGAAAACGAGAATGGTGTCGATGTCGCGGCGAGCTATATTTGCAGTGAGCGCCTGCGAGATGATCCGGAAACCCGTTTTCGCCATGTCGAAACCCACCACGAAGATGAGCGTGCGTGCATTGAGCCTCTGAGAGTTCACATGCCGAAGCAGGTCGCGGAGGATTGTGATCCACAACGATTCTACAGCTCTATCAGACATGTTGACAATGGGCAGCGCCATCCTGGTTTTCGGAATATCGAGGTTAGAATATCGACAACGTTGATTGCATGACCGTTCGCGCCAAATCGACATGGTTGATCCATGAGAGCGGTAATTTTGTCGAACGGTTTTAGGTCTCACGAATGTTTTAAAGTTTGATGCATTGTGCAATGACTCAGGTTGGATGCAACTTGGGCATAATATACAGTAGTCCAGCGATGGGTCAGCTCAATGCATTACACTGTTGAGCATGAGATTGGGCAAACCCATTCCGTGCTAAGGTCGTCACTTTGCGTCGCCTACATGTGATTGAAGCTTTCTTTCTCTGGACTTCCTTCACCCCAATTTCTATCACCGTCCTCCGCTGCTGCGATTCACCAACATCTTGAAGCCGGTGAATAAATCTTCCAACTTACTCAAATCAGATGTGTGATCGGCATACGGCATTTCAGCTTCCCATCAACGCACTTAATATCCAAAGAGTAGCCACATGTGAGCTGAGGAGATTTATCACAATAGCAGCATATGACCAAAATCCCCTGAAAGATGGGTACACAGCTGGAAGTTAACAATAATAGGCCTGACGATTGCATGTTAGATGTTATAAGTTGTAAGTTTGTCATACATTGGGATCTGCCAACGTCGACAAGCCAGATTGTGTACTATTCCCACCAAATGCTTCGAATCTTGTGCGACTTTTGCAATGTCAACGCAGCAAACGACAACCCATTGACGTCGGCAAGAAAAATCCAAAGTCATCGATGAGCGATCCAGGGACCGAACGTGATCCGCAGGAGGCAGTTAGTTCGCGTTGGAAAGAAAGCTGGCCCGTGAAGATGGAGATCAAATACCCTAATTGAGAGTCCAGACACAAGCCCGAAACGCCCTGGAGGCGAAGCACCATCCTTGCGGGCTTCGACGCAATTTTGGATGAAAGTAATTTGGATGAATGTATCCAAATGTGAATAGATGAATTGATGGTTGCATGGCTGGATGGATGGTGGTGGAGTGCGGATGGATGTATCTGTCTGGCTCTTTCGGCGATCTTTCGAGACTCTCGCTGCTCCTTCTTTTGAAAAAGCAAAAAGTAAGGTTGGATTCCATGTCGTGAGATAGAAATGTTGCTTATAGGGATTTATCATTATTGTCTCTATTATCTGAGAGAGAGAGAGAGAGAAGGAAAATTTATTAAAATAAAATAATAATAATAATAATAATAATCTTGCACACTATGAATTAAATAAGAACAAGTGAGAGGGTTAATGTTAGTTTTTAAATTTCTATTAATTAATTAATTAATTATTATTTGTTTTGTTATTATGCTAATTGATTGTGAGTTTTTATTTCTTTATTTGTAACAACATTTTCTTATTTAGATACAATCAATCATTGAAAATACCTACAGTTGTGGTTTTTTCAAATGTATAATTATATATTTTTTAAATATATGTGAATTAATAAACATTTGTACAACTTAAAGAACAACTCTGATGAAATAATCACTATTTTCATTTTATCATACAAATATTGATAGGTATTTTCTATTTATATATATTTATGAAAGATTTAATATTCCTATATGGGTCCTTTCAACTGATTTTTTTAAGTTATTGATCTTTTTATGGATAAATAATATAAGATAATGTTAAATGGACCTAAGCTTTTGCAAAAATGATCCACTCATCCTAGCCATTATTTAAAAAAAAAGAAAATAAAAAAATAAAAAAAATCCACTATTGGATCTAAAATCAATAAAAACCAACTATGTTCATCATGATTACCATATTCTTCATCTTGGGTAGGTTGATTTAGTAAAAACCTAGGTCTATTTAATATTCCACTCAAATGCATATATCAAGTTTTGAATTTAAAAATAAATATTACTTAAAATTTAAATTAAATTAGAATTATTTTATTATTAGTATTGAATTTTATATAAACAGAGGATAATCTAAGTTGGTTCAGTTTTATAGTTATAATAGTAACATACAAATATAAATAAACTTAATGATAGTTTGAAAAAATAAATAAATGTAATTTTTTAGAGTATTTTTAAGATTATAAAAAATACATAATATATTTAGAAGAGAACAACCACCATTCTCTCTTGTTAAATTTACTGATTATTAAAAAAAAATTGACAGATTTAAGTACTTTATGTATGTACTTTATTTAAGAATAGGATATATAACATATAAGCATAGAACTGATATCATATGTTACTAATGAGAAGTAGTACCAATCCAATAGAGTTTACAAAAAATTCAACATTTATTTATTTATTTATTTATTTTTAAATGGTGTCCATTAAATCCATTGCATAAATACAAGAGAAAAAATTATTTTAATTACTTATTTTAATTTACTTTTTTAGCTTATAAGCTATTTATAGGTCATAATAATTATTTTAACTTTAAACACTTGTAAAATAAAATAAAATCCAAGCATGCTAAAATATAAAAGAATAAGAATCACTCTATTTTTTTTTTTTGAAGGACAATATGTATTTTTTAACCCTCAGATTAATTGCTTTAACTTTCTGAACCTACAAGCTTATAAATCTGTATTTTGTATACAAATAAAATAAAATTTAAATTTGGAATCAAGACTTCAAACTAAGTACTTGTAGTTTAGTGGTTGAAATTGCAAACAATTATGTATTTTTGCACACCTTTCAAATCATGTTGGAAAGTACTTGTAAAGATACTTATAAATGTAGTTACATAAACAAATCTACAAATGATTTTTAAATGTCAGGTTTGTTAATTATTTTATATTAAAATAAATAAATAAATAGAATCTAGTCTTTGGAGATCTATAGACAAAGGATAAATTTTACAAAACAATGAAAGAAGAAGATGATTGTAGAAGCAGCTATTATATGATTTGAGATTCAGTTCTTCTTAAAGACTTTTTTTATAAAGTTAAAGAATATATCTTATAATGTAAATGGATTGAATAATCTATCCAAAGTCCCAAAGTATTTCTCTTAAGTATACTATTTTATTTTTCCAAAAGCACAGGGCTTCAAAATTAGGCACTATTCTATAGCCAAATTTAGGATTTTAATTCTCAAAGCTTCACTAAAGTACATGTTGGAACTTAATCGTGTAAAGTTGGAGGGATTTGTATGTTATTTCTCTTGCAATCAAACATTTAATAGAAAATGTGTTATTACTAATAGATAATGAGGCCTTTTGGGTTATTTTTAAAGGTATCTTAGAAAATTTACTCATTTAAATGTATATATATATATATATATATATATATATATAATACATATATGCTTCTAATTATTTTTAGAAAAGAAGAAAAATATAAATAGTCTTATTAAATATATTATTTTTTGATAATTTTCTCATTGTGGATATGAATTGGACTATAGTTAAAACACTTAGTGGCATATTTTTATACTATAAAAAGATCTTGTCCAAAGATAAAGAAAATATGTAGAACATGCTAATATCTTTTTTTTTTTTTTTTTTTTTTTTTTCTAGATGATGTTTTTAAGGATAGAAGAAAGCTTAATTTTTCTTAAAAAAATAAAAATAAGGTGTTCAATTTCTTATCAAAGTAGATAGATTTTATATAAGCACAAATATCTTTATAAAAGAGCAAATCATTAAATAAAAATAAGAGAAGATATAATATTATCAAATTATTTTTCTATTACATTAATTATTCAAATCTAAAAATATAATTCTAAGAATCAAAACTACAAGATCAATTTTTTTTTCAACTTAATAATTTAAGACTTCTTTAGCAACTAAGAAAAATTCGAGATACTTCTCAATAAAGAGATTCTTTCACCAATAGAATGCAAGTCTTCGTAAGATTTTATAAGTTCTTCTATATAGAATAAGTCTTCTTTAAGAATAGATGTTATTTTATTTTTAAGGATTTGGTAGTAGAATTATTATATCTAAGATTATGAGATTTAAGTAAATTATAAAGAAATTTATGCTCAATGAGATAATTATAAATATTATAAGCAAATTTGACAAAGAATTAGAGCTTGTATTATATAGATAACTTTTATAGATTGTAATACCAAAGGATGTTGTAAAGCAATCAAAATAAGATATCTTAGATCTTTCATCACTAAATTACAAAACATCAAAGGGTCATGATAAAGAGCCTAGAAAATTAGATAATTTTTTTTTCTAAATTGTATTCAACTTTGTATAAAAAATGCAATCTATCTTTTGATGCAATCAATACTTTAAAGTTTATATTAAAATAAAATCTCCATAGGTAAGATCTTGTATGAATGACTGAATGATACATCTTTTATATTCTAATGAAGTAAAATAACTTATTTATAAATTGAACAAAATTTTTTAGATATTATCCTTACCTAAGGAGTATTTTATCTATTGGATTTTGAACTATCTAATTAGATATATTTTATAATCTTTTTCTGATATATTCTAAACTTAAATCTATTCTAGTACAATTAATCTACTTGATTAAACATCTTTTTTTCTTGTTCTATTATATTCTTAATTTTTTATTAATTATCTAAAAAACTATTAATTAGGCAACAACTTCCAAACATCTTTTATTTTAAAAAAATATGTATTCTAAAGTAAATTAAGAAGTATCAAAAAAATCTTAATTCAATCTATAAATAATTTTTTTAAAAAAATCTATTTTTTATTTTTTAAAATTTATTTTTTTAAGAAATTATCTTATCAATGAAAATTATTGGGCATTTCATATAATGAATTTTTATGAAAAATAATATGAGACAAGGATTTTTTTGAGAACCATACCTATGTATTATTAATAGTGAAATTTTAAATATTATTATTTAAGAAGAGGATAAGGATAAAAAAAAATTATTAAGTATTGATATGATATAGGTCTTATATTAAAAAATTATTTTCAAATATATAAATAATTTTAAAATAACCTTCAAAGATAAAAAAAAATTATATAAAATCATCATAAATTATTAAATAATTTTATTTAACGTCAAGTAAAGAAATAAATTTGTCAAATTTAAATACTTTTTACAATAAAAATATGATGAGACCAATATGGATTGAGATCTTTAGATAGAATCGGATTCTTACTATTCATCTAAATATTCTCATAGATATTTTATCTTAACTATCTTTACTAAATAAACTCATAGAAAATTTTAATAGAAGAAAGAAATTATTTATTTTAATTTTATAATTAATTTAGACTATACTTATTCCAAAAAAAAAAAATCTAATAGTGGTTTTTCATCTATTTACTTAAATTTTAAAAATTAAAAAAAAATCATCTTATTTGGACTATTTAAATTAAAACTTTATCATGTTTTCATCCAATATATAGTAATTTATTATAATATGAATTTTTCAATTGATCTAAAAAATGAGAAGTAGTAGTTCAAACTATTTAATTGAAGATTTTATAAAATTTTATAAGGTGGCTCAAAAAATAAAAGTCAATTAAATAGGCAAAGTTTACACTATTATTTTCTTTGGAGTTATTAGAAACATTACTTTTGCTCCTAATACTTACTTGTAGTTAACTAGAGTGAAATAAATGACTTATTCTAATATATTTGGTAATAAGATGTTTTATTCAATGTTTGTTAAATTAAATTTAAGTACCACCAAATTAAACTCTATTGTAGAATACAACTTCTTGTTTAAGTGGCTCAATATTTATACTAAGCTTTGGTCACATGAAGAAGCTATGTTTATTTTTCTAATACAGCATAAATATGTGGCAATAGACATGTGGGAAGAAAAAACATGCTTAAATATAAATTTCCATTGTCCGTTATATATGCCTTGTAATAAATAATCAATTCTATATACATTTTAGAAGTGTTCTCAAGCTTGACATACATGGAATTAGATAAAATCTTTGCAATAATTGATAACTTGTAGGCTTAAAAAATAAAGAATTAAGAATGTTTTTTTGTACAAATAATCAATTTATATTTGGGCCATCCTTCTTTGTTTAAATTGTTTTAAACTATTTGGTCTTTATAAAGAGATTCTTGTTTGTAAAATATATAGATTCAAGTAAAAACATTTATGTTAAAAGAAAAAATATGAAAAAACCTTCAGAATAGGATATTGATATGGTTTAGGGTTTATTGAGTATAGAAAAATACTTTAGAATTATTCTTGCGAGAAGATAAAAATTAAACCGAAATATATGACTAAATTTTTTAAGAATTAAGAAAAATTATAGATAGAAAAATTTCTGATTAAAAAAAATAATAATAATAATTTAATAGAATTGTATTATATCTCAATGTAGCCTAATAATCAATGAAAACCTAGAAGAATAGAGTTACATATGGTGTGGATTAGATGCTTTTACATTTGCTTGAATAACTAAATTTTAGATGTAGGCTATCATTATTTGTAATTTTTCCAATTAATATTAACAAAAAAAAAACTTAAAAATAAGTTAGACTGAATTATGAATTAAAATAATAGGGAATTTTTGCCTATCTCATGAATTAAGTAAGGTGGTTGGAAAAATTCTACCCAATTTCTTTTTAATTAAACAAGATTTGTTTAAGGTACATATAACTCCTTAAAAAGTAGTTAAAACTAGAAGTAGTCAAAGTAGAGACAGCAAAAATTTGGAAATAAAGAAAAGAGAAACTTAATTATAACCTCACATATTAATCTTTTTCTAGGTACATGCAAGGTAATTATTTCTTAGATGGATACATTCATCTATAATGTATATAAGTTGAGACTTTGATAAATTATAAGTAATTCTTGTTGATTAGAATAAGCTATTTAGTAATTCTTGTTAATTCTTGAGAAAGTAATTACAAGTAATTCTTGTGCTAATTAAGCAACTATAAATAATAATAATAATAATAAATAATAATAAGTAAATAAATATAAAATTATATATAATAAAATAGCTATAATATAAAACAATTGTATTATAGTTAATTTAACATGGGGATTAAAATTTTGGTTCTGAGATGATTGAAAATCTATATATATATATATATATATATCAAAGAATTATTTGAAACATTTGTAAGAATAATTTCATTGAAATAGATATTATTTAAATTTTAATGTAACATCTATTATCTTTTATCAAATTGGTGCAAGTTAGACCTTCTAAACTAAGTTTTTTAAGCGTATGTACTTTCTCTATCATAGTGCAAAAAAACATAATTTTTTTTAATTGCAAGTATTGAATTTATACAAAATATAAATAATGATTTGAAAAATATTTAGAATTAATAAATAGACAGAAAGTTAACCAATTTGTTTTTCTAATCTTTGCTTGTATTTTTATTGATTTTTTTGGCTGAATGGAATAAGATAATAATTTTAATAATAATAAATTTTATACATAATTTGGTTATACCAAGACTAAGTTCTCTTTTAAAATTTCAATTGGCACTGGACTGATCAAACAACACGAGATCAGGCAGTTTTGTGTCGTGGAAACCGCATTTCTAAGCACTAACTCTTTCCAAGTCTTTGCAACCACAAATGCAAAATTGTCAGGTACTATACTTTTAGGTACTCTACCAGAAAATTCATAGAAATATGAAGAACTAACAATATTCTGTGATAAATCTTTTTTTATATGCTTGATTGTTAGTTATGTGCTTAAGCGTTTCCACAACAAGTTTATTTGCACGAAACCTCAGTCTAACCAATGATTACTGTCGGAAACGTCGATGTTTGAGAATTTGTGGGCTCCACTTACCTGCACTGCCATAGCCATTACATTTTGTTCGAAGACATACAGGCTGCAAGACAACATAATCTTCTCATCTGTCATACGATGCAGCATCACATTCAACAACCTGTGATGCTCATCGAATGTAATCCTTCATCGTGTGTCTTGTTGAAAAGTTGAGACTAAAGGCTGTGTGCTGTGCATAAGTTCAAGTTACTGACGTTGTGAGCTTCGTGAACATGGTTGAAAGGAGCTCTCTGTCGTTGCAGGAACGAGAAAGACCTTCAACTCTCTGAACGCAGTTAATGTAGTAATTCAATGATTGTGTCACGCATTACACACTCGACCGTCCCATGTCAGATACGAGCCACCGAGGTTGAAAAGCTTTTCACGCTCAGGAGCTGTGACATTTGACTTCTGCCACCTCAGCAAACAATGATCAGAAACTAAACCATATCGAAAGCAAATTAAGAAGATCGTGCTAAGTAGTGTCTGTCGATAATCAAAACTTTGAATTACCCTCTTGCTTACACCACACGCAATATTAAGTGATAGTGTGAGAATGTATACTTCGACTCCACAAATTTTGGGCTGCTGGTTTTCAACTCCAGACAATTCCAATCATGGGGATAAGAAAGGAACAAGAAATACGACACCTTAGTGTTGAGCATGATAATTTTTCTCTGAGTAAGCAAGATCAAAGGTAATGTTGATTGGTGACGAGGGGGCTGTTGTGAATATGGTTTTGACATTTGGCACAACCTGCGGCATTTCCCCAGTTGGCTCGGCAAGAGTCAAGCATTCTTCAGAAAGTTAATCCTTGCAAGCTCAAGGTGGAAAGGGCGAGACTATGTGGGTCCTTGGGAAAGAGGGAGAGGGTAACACCGCGCAACAGTTACCGCGTTTGCGCTTCGTCCAAAGCACGGACAGCACCACAATCATCCGTCTCACGCGTTGTTGGCCTGCAAAAGGGGCTCCTCGGCTGAACCAATTGGGAAAAAATTAGATGAAGTTATTGGTTTCACATTGCAAGGAGCCTGGCGCATTGCCTACATTCTTGCAGATTCTGTGGGCTGGAACACACTCGAGGAGCCTCCTTGCTTTCTAAACTGGGTCCTTTGTTACTGGCGATTTAGTGATCTTGGTGTGAACGCTCTCCCAGGCAGAAAATGGTTTCTCCATTGCTACCGCAGAGCTTGCATCTCCCCCGTGGACACTGGCGGTACCCATCGATGTGGAGAGATTCCAATACTTTTTATCCTGCTAACTACTTTCGGTAGTTTCTCAGAGCCATTGCCGTTGGGAACCGTCAAACACTAGTCCAAACGATGCTTTGCTGGAGGTGCAAGGATATGATTCAACAGTGATTTGCAAATCCATCAAGTGAGAAAAATCAATCGGTGGTGGGTATCGAGGAATTTTTAAAAGAAAAAAGAAAAAAGAAAAAAAGTGAATTCATCTTAGTATGATGTATAGTGTACATTAAGATGATGTGGTATTCCTCATGACCACCATGCTCCTCATAATCCTTGAGCACACGTTCGGAGCCTTCAAAAAAACAAAAGTTTCAACTCTTCATGTAAGTTCGAAAAATCTCATAAAAAGAAACCCATAATCTGTGGAGCTCTGAAGCGAGCGAACTAGGTTCAGTATATTACAGACGATGCTTCATTTCAAGGATTTCAACCATAAAGTAAAATCCTTTCTAACTACTCTCTGGAATCCTTAATCACCAGCATGACATGCGGATCATTGTTTTATCGAAAATTCGAACTCAAGGTGTGGGAAGTAAGAGAGGTGGAAGTTTGAGAAAGCTGGAAAAGGAAGGTCACAACTGGCTTAAAGGAGTTAATGGGATGGCTAAGAATGTAATTAATTCCACAAGGAGGGGCCATTGTAAGAGTCATCGTCATCATCACTGTCGTCGTCGTCGGAGTAGGAAGGCGGCTGGATGAGCATTCCTCGGGCCATGTCCGAAACTAGATACGGGTCATCTTCGAATGCTCTCCAATTGTCGCCGTGGGAAGACTGGGACGACGTTCCATACGAACCGTGGCTGTAAGTAATGTCCTCGAGCTCTTCGTCACTGCTGTCTGACGATGAGGCAGGTGACATGAATTCGCTGTATGAGAATCGACGGCCAACCGAAGCGGCTGCTGCACCTGCTGCTGCAGCTTGGATCTCCCGTGTGCTGTAGTTGCCGGGAGTTCCAGGCGGGAGCGGGGGCCTGTAGTTGGGGAAGTTCAGATTGGCCGCAGGCCCACGCAGGCACAGCAACGCAGCGTCGTAAGCGTGCGCGGCCTCCTCTGCGGATCGATAGGACCCCAGCCAGATTCTCTTCTTATTCTGAGGTTCTCTGATCTCGGAGACCCATTTTCCCCAGCGCCTCATGCGCACCCCGCGGTACTGTCGCTGGGAAGAACTGGAACCTCTTTGATGACCTGACATAATTGAACGTTTGTCCTCGAATTTTTTTCGGAGGACACAGAACGTCTGTTCAGTTGAATCTCGACTTCGGTATAATATCTTCTTTGTTTTCTGAAATCCGAAGTATTGAGCTGGACCTCAACGCACGAGTTTTCCACAGTGTTGATTGCGAACTACAGTGGGTATGATCAAATCTAGCTGAGCTTTGCAATCAAGACGAATTGTGCTACTTCTAGAAATGTCAAGACTTCGGAAACTGGACCTCGAGTACCAGCTGAGTAATGGCGCGCGCTAGTAAATCGTGCAAGGCTTCTGTGCAGATTTTAGAGTTTAGATCTGTCTACGATAAATGACGTATCCTACGTTGAAGAATCGAACAATCTAAGTGAGAGTTTTGAAGTTGATCGGCGAGCTGAACACAAGGCAGTACTTCGGGATTAAGGCTACTACAGCACATTCAACTTATCGTAGGTCAGCGATCAGCCTCCGCACAGAGCTATGATCATCAGGGACAACCGACAGTCTACGAGTAATACTCAATCGAGCTGCTAACAGAGAGTGGAGAAATGCCAACATCGAAGGTGCTTATATAACTGATGCGCACCCAAGGAAAAACATTTATTAGCCTTTGACTTGACCCCAACAATTATAGTATTTCCGGTAGCTTCACCTGAGGTGCCCAACTTCCAGGAACCTTGGATTGTTTCACTTTCTCCGTCACACAAACAATAATATCACACATCAACAAAGCGGCTCAGTGAATGATTTACCCCGAGACTTGCCGGTGGGGTAAGTTCGGTGCGTGAAAGGGCACTTGAGCCATTGACCAGTGGCCGCATTGGTGGGGGAGGGTGTGATGAGTTTTAGCAAGCGTCAGACCCCACGTGTGCCTCGCCGATGGATCCCGGTCGCAAATTCCTCCCGAACCTTCCCACCATTACGGTTTCAAGCGCAGTGAAAGAAACAACCATGCTGTGCTCGCATCCATCTGGCATTCCACAGTTCATGTGCAAATCCCAGTCGACGTTGTTTAAGACTTAGGCACCGTCTGAGATTGCTGTTGGCTACCGTAATTCAGGTGGGTCCTGCCACAGCCGTAGTAGCTTCCAGCCCTTCCAAATATTTTCCAGTTGACCAATGGCTAAGTTCGCGGCGAATCTCGCCCAACGTATCGAAATGCACCATCTATCTGAGGCCCTGATTTTTCTTCTCGGGTCTTGATTCCAGGCCCCTCCAAGCGAAGGTCTCGATTCCAACATTGGCTGTTGCATAGTTTGAATTAGTGGGCATCGGTTTCCGGTGTGGCCCTCCGGAAATCACACACACACACACACTCTGTTTGATTCCAGCCCCTCCAGCCCACCAGATTATGAGACACACTTGGAAACTGCACAGCCTGATTTCCCAAAAGGCAAAAGGAGGGCAATGGGTTTTATTTGTTACCTGCAACACAGAAATAAAAAGGGAAACTAAAATAATGAACAGGACTCGGGAAAAGAGTTCAATGATGGTAGCTAGCTAGCTGGGGCCGTCTAGATTCAACTCCTGCTCAAGCCCTTTGCAAGTCAACTCGTTTTTTGTTTTTGTTTTGTTTTGTTTTTTGTTTTTATTTTTATGATGCTTGTGGGTGAAGTGTGGTACATTCCATATGTCAGATTGGTAGACATCAGCTTCGGTCTTTTGTGGCAGAAATTGACAATGAAACCATTGCATGTATCCCATTTCAGTCCCATAGTCAAACACCACTTGTGTCACATTGCCATGGCTTGGCTCACAGAACCTCTCTCTCTCTCTCTCTCTCTCTCTCTTTGGGATTGTAGTGCATGAGGGTCTTCTCCTATTTATTATTGTTTTTCTTAAAAAAGAAAACAAAAAAAAGATTGTTTCATCTCTGTTTTGTTTGGAATTAGCAGTGGGTGTAGTCCCCATTTGCTGTTGCAAAATCAAACTGTAACCCAGTGTGGTGGTAATAGTCCAATGACGTATGCAAGGTGATGAAGTATGACTTGAGATGCGTGAGTGGTCTTCCTGATGTTGGGGAGGGGGCTTAGCCCACCAGCAGCCATGATGACCTACTTTAATTCAGAGAAAGTAATATTCTTTCTAGTTCCAATAGTATTGCATTTCTAGGACTTTGGCTGGCTTCTTTGAGGGATTTGCCTTATTTGATGTTTTGTTTTATTATTATTGATGGTAGTGTGTTTAATGAAGGGCATCCCAAGAAATGTAGTTAATTTGTATACTTTATTGATGGTAACTAAACAAAAAAAATTGTTGTTCTTTTTAATATGATTTGTTTGAATGTCGAAAGGTAAAGAGTAGAGACAAGATGAGAGAGTTTATTACAAGGTGCATGAAAATTTATTTGTTTGAAAACATAGAGTAGGTGTAGGTTTAGTTTGGAGTATTTGATGCAAAAATGACTAGAATATATGTGTAATAACTATTAGTATTTTTTAAAAACATATTATCACTTTTAAAATATAAATACACATAAATCTATCTATCAATATATATATATATGTATATATATACATATGCATACATATACATGTGTGTAATAGAAACTAATAATTATTCTTATAATTAAACATAATAAATTATATCTAAAACTAATTATAACTTTATTCTGTGCCAAATACGATATTTCAAGATGTAAAGAAGAAAAGTTGTTTTGGGAGATTTAATTAAATGTAGTGTATAAATTTTAAATTATATAATTTGTAAGTTTAAGAATGAAGCAGACAATGCTTAAGTCAAATTCCATACTAAGAAACACTATTCTTAAAAATGCAAAGAATGTATGTTGGATTTATTATGACCAATCTATATCAAAGGCATTTCAAAAAAAGAAGTAAAAAAGATATATATATATATATATATATATATTAGTTGAAATTAGACATTTTTATTTTTGAGAAAAGAACGTCTGAATGTAATTTTAGTGAAAGATATTATTCATAGTAAAAATTACACTTTTATTGTGTATATATTAGTAACTCAAAAAAATTAGTCAATTAAATCTTAACATAATATTGCCAGATATTAATTAATTGAATTTTAAATTTTACGTTATTAAAAAATAATATTGTAATTAAAGAACTATTTTTTTGAAGAAAATTAAATAAAGTTTTAGAGTGTTATTATAAATTTTTAATTTCATCATTCAACTACTAAATTTGTAATTATTAAACAGACCACTTTAAAAATATAAAAAAATCTAACACTAAACTTTTGAAAGTAACATGAATTTTTTAAATTCAATTTTCAGTGAGCGAAATGCAATATCATTAAATTTTTAAAATTAAATTACCATATAAAGATAAATATATATATATATATATATATATATATATATTTATCTTTATATGGTAATTTAATTTTATATATTTATCTTTATATATATATATATATATATATATATATATATATATATTAAGTAAATAAACCACCAACACAACTAATAAAAATCACTTTCATTATAACTAAGTATAAATTTTTTAAATAATGGATATTATAATGCATGTATTTCATAAAACTTATATAAAAAATATTTAAAAATATATTAATAAAAAATAATATAATAAAATAAAAATAAAACTTTTTTAATATTAAAAAAATAATAAGAGAAGAAAATATAGCATGTTTGAGCCAATTTTTAATTTAGTTAAAAAATGGATCAACTTGAAAGTGCAATTTGACCATGATAAATGAAATAGGTTATTTTTAACTTCACTTGCTAAAATTTATTTATATGCTTTTATTATATACTAGTTATTATAATTCTTACAACCAATTATATTTTTGAATATTTCTTAAATTTTTAAGTCAAATCAAGACTATGTTACTTATAGAATAAAAAAAAACTTTGAATTGATAAAAGATTTCTTTTTCTTTATTTAAACTATTTAAAAAAAATAGAAATAAAATCCTATTTTAATATAAAAATAAAAGACATCAACATATGCAATTTATTATACAACCATTTTTTGTATAACAAACAACCAAATTTAATCCAAAATAGTTCATATACAACAATTATTTAATTTTACATACTATATAAAAATATCAAATAAATGTTTAAATAATTTTTTCTTACTATAAAAATCAAAAAAAAATCTTTCAAATACAAACCAAGAAATAAATAAATTACTTGATTATTTTTAAACTATTTTTAGAATTTAATTATTGACATAAGTTTTATGAAATAAAATTTTAAATTAGATAACAAAAAAGATATATGTTTTTGAATATATATATATATATATATATATATGACATGTAATTTATTAAGAACAAATCATGTACTTTGACAATATCTTTTTGAAAATTGTTCATATAGCTTGACTATTTTCATGCAACAATTTTATTACCTTGTATATCATACTTGAAATTTTAAATAATTTTTTCTTGCATTGAATAATATATTCTAAAGTAGATATTATATTAATTTTCGTAAACATATATAAATTTTCAAGTAAATTTTTTATAAATATTTATTTTTTTAAGTAAAAGAATGTTTGTTTTAATTCTTTACAAGTTTGCAATGTATATGCACCCATAAGAGTACACGGACAAAATAAAATCAGAGAAGAAATAACAAAAGGTTTTTATAATTTTAGTTTATTACTATGAAAAAATAATACGAGTATCTATTTTGTTAGTATTATTTCTTTGGTCAAGTATTAATATAGGATTTGATGCTTGAAATATCTATGATTTATTCAAAATATTTTTTTAGTATAATGTGTGTCTAATGTATACTTTTAATATAGTCTAGCTTATGGAAACTTTAAAACTGTTAATGATAATATAAAAGCTTTGTAACATACATTTTTAGATTTATTATTAATTTTTTAAATTTTAGGACAATGCTTTTGTTGTATAATTTGATTGTATATTTCTTCAATTATGTTTATATATATATATATATATATATATATATTTATGTGTGTGTGTGTGTGTGTGTCTATAATTTACTATTAGAAATAACCATCAAATGTTTGAGTAAAAAATAAGTTTGACAATTAAGTATATAATCGAATTCCAAAAAATTAATAAATTAATAAATAAATAAAAACTTTAAAATTCATAAAAATCAATGGTTTTTTATTAAAAAAAATACAAAAATAACAAAAGTCTTGTCTAAATAAAGGTACAATTTTTACAATAAAAATTACAAAAATTGTTCCTTTTTTTACTCGTCATATAAATTCATGAATTTGACATTAAACCACTCATTTATTCATTATATAAAGGTAACACTTAATAGACAAAAGGACCTAAAGAATTTTCTAAATTTAAGTATAGATTTTTAAAAGTAGAATATAAGTTATTGTAAAGCAACCTGGAAACATAAAACTCTACATAAAACTCAAAACTATTGATGCAATTGAAACTCTATTATGATTCTTCAATATTTCAAGAAAAGTAAGTAAATATATATTATCATCAATTTGTACTGCTTTTCTTTTATAACAATGGAGTGGTATTAATTTATAATTTTTTTATTATTACTAAATAGTTTTAAAAATTTGGTAAATATTCAAGAATCAACATATGTATTGCAAATTTAGTTTTGAAATGATATTAGCTTCAACATATATTTTTTTATAATTTTTAAAAAAATTTAAGTGAGTAATAAAATATTGAACGCATTGATATATTATCCTATCAATTACTGTTTCAAGAACCAATACCTACTCCTTTAAATCTACTTATGAAACTTTACTATTCACTTATTAATAAATTGAACAGAAGAACATGTTGGTTCAACCAAGTGTATTAAAATTTTAATAGTCAATGACAAATCCATTAGTAGGATATATGTTATTTTGTGACTACTAGATTATAGATTATTTTTCAAATTTTAAAAAATTAGAATCAAATATAGAAACTTATTTTGAATGTCTATCTAAGTATTTGTTTCAACATTAATTTGTTTACTTTTCAATTCTTTGTCTCACCTTCTACTAGGAGAATCTTTGCAAAACATAGCGACATGTAGGATATATTTGTAAAAGGAGTTTTGTTTGAAAATATGTCCAATTTACAACTAATGTAATCAAATGTAAAGTAAAATTAAACTAAGAGACTAGTTAAATGTCTACTGTGTATCAACTTAAATAGATCTTCAAAAAGATGTTTTTGAAAATAGATACTTCACAAAAATCATCTGAAACACCTCCTCAAACTTTATATTACATACAATTGGACTAAGTTGCATTGTAATCATCCGTGTTTTTGAGGATGAATAAGTAGTAGTTGTAAGAAAAGTTTTTCAGAAATTGATTCTTTCGCAGGGTTTGAACACCAGTATTCTATTTTTACTATTATGTTTTCTTTGGTGTGGTTCGGTAAGACAGTATTTAACAATTTTAGTACTAGATTTCAAACTTTTTTTAAGTTGTGAAAATTAAACACTGAACCTGCCATTTCGATATCCTTTCATTGCAATACCCAACGTTCCAATTCAAATTCCAAAGTAATATGTTTAGGTTGTGAATTTATACGGATGAAAATTCAAACCAGGTATTGTTTATTATTCAATTACTGTAGAGTATTGTAAAATGACTAGAAATCAAACTTTAGATTCATGAGCTGCTCAAGTGACATTATTATTCCCAAAAACAAAACAAAAGATAGTCATCCATCAATTTACAGAACTATATATTCATGGACACCCAAGAAGTCGAGACACTAACAAGAATGCAAGTTGGAATGGATAGGTTGACACTCCTATACCCAAGCATCCTGCAATTCTAACTTCCATGGCAACCTCACCGCAAGAATGCATGTTTCATAGATATACTATGAAAACAATATAATCGTTCACGTGGTCTCATTTCCCTTCCCAGTATTTGTACTTACTGTTCAAAGAAATAAAAATAAAAGACTTAATAAATTCTCCCAACAGAGGGTCCATTGTGCTCTATGTAAAGAATATGAAGGACACTGATAGCATCAGGGCCTGCCAGACTCAACACATCAGAAGAAATCAAAGGACATGGGTCAAATGTATATGTAATATACCTACTTGAAAAACAAACATTCAGTACTGAACATAAAAATGAACATGTATCAAAACTTCAATTCAAAAAGAAACAAAGCACCTGAAATTCATGAATCTTCCCAGTCTGTGCCATCAAACATTAACTGTCATGGACGATAACCCTAAGCTTCAAGAAACAAAAACCAGGACTACGACAGCACCTGTAGAATTAGAATGTGATGATTGCCTACTCGATTAAGATGCTTGAAAAAGCTAGATAAAAAATACTGCAATACAGCTAAAGCAAGTTTCACAGAAAACGATACAGCGAAGCCAACATGGCAGCGACACACAAAACATTTGTGCCATCAACTAACAATTACGATGTAAATCGTCAGAAATTTTAGATGGCAAACATAATGAACAAGAAGAATACTTCTTAAACATGCACCTAACCAAATGATACTTCTCCAGCACTCTCGCAGCACTAGAGCTAGGACTAACACACGGAAACTCCGAACAAGAGATAGACAATTTACTGCATCAGGTGAATTGAGTTCCAACACCAAAAACACAACACGCATCACAGCCCTAATTGCAGCAAGGAAGAATTACGACTCGGCGCTTTTCAGTGGTTCCTTCTAAACAACTTGAAATGCTGTAGATTCATCAATGCAGCAAACACTTGACTCCAAAATATTGCATAATAAGGGTTTGATGACGCACCATTCCAAAACATTCCACACAATAGATACAGGGGCACAAAATACAAACACAACAAACCTAATACACTACAAAACAAAGCTACCTTCACATTAAAGGTCACGAGAAGTTAACTTTATCATTATCGAGGGAAAACTCGTCATTTGTCACTATAGTCTTACATTAAAGATCTTCGCGAATCAGACAATTTCATTCCATTCACTGCCTCCGAATCGAATGCCAAGGCTAGAAGAAAAATATTCGTGTATTTATCTGCCAATTTCAAGATTAAACCTAATTTAAATAATCTTCCACCACCAGCATTGTCGCCAACACCCTCCCCACCGCTGTTCCCTCTGCATCCTCCTCAATTCATCTCCTCAATTCGCCCCCTCCGCGCATCCCAATTCTAGTTCACCACATCGAACACCAGCTTCCTCGACTTTATCGGTGCCCACCTAAACCTCTTGTAGTACGCCGCTTGCAGCAGCGCCAAACTCAGCACGAAGATCCACTTCGCTCCTGCCAGCTTCCGCTCGTCCATCTCCGGCTCCGCTGCCCACGACAAAAATGTCACCACGTCCTTCGCCATCTGCGACTCCGTCGCCGCCGTCCCGTCCTCGTACTCCACACCCCCGTCCGTCAGCATCTTCGGCATCGCGATCGCGCCCCCGGGAAAGTACGGATTGTAGTGCAAACCCTCCCGCACCGACACTCCCGCAGGCGGCTCGCGGTACCCCAGCAGCAACGCATACACGTAATTCTGCCCGTCGTGACGCGCCTTCGTGATCAAGCTCAAGTCCGGCGGGTACGCCCCGCCGTTCGCGAATCGAGCAGCCGACTCGTTCGGATAAGGATTCTGGAAATGGTCGCTCGGCTTGCCAGGCCGCATGTACATCTCGCCCTCGTCATTCGGACCATCCTCCACTTCCACCTCCGCGGCCAGGCACTTCACCTCATCTTCAGTGTACGCCACCCCGATCAAGTCTCGATACGCCACCAGAGACGCGCTGTGGCACGCCGCGCACACCTGCTGGAAAACCTGGTGCCCCCGCCGGATCGAAGCGTGGTCGTACCCGCTCAGCACGCCGTTGTGCGACCATGGGTACTGCGGTGGCGCCAGCCCGTGCTCCGCCTCATCGGCGTACGCCACACCTGCCAGCCCGAGAAGCCCCGTGGTCCCGGCGCCCACCAGCGCCAGCCCTCGAAATCCCCTCACCCCATAACCCTCACCATTGCCTTCCTGCTGCTGCGCGCTCGCTCCCAACGCGCGCACCACTCCGGCCTCCGCATCACCGCCATGCCTCTGCTTCAACGCACGCGCCGCTCGCGACAGCGCCCGCACCACGGGGCCCGATGCTCCCCGCCCCGCCATCGCCTCTTCTCCTCTCCTCTACACTCCACTCCCTCTGCGAGCATGTGCGCTTCCTGCCGAGACTACTCCGAAACGCCTCTCGCCCAGTCTCATGGCCTCCTTCCTCGCCCCGCACGAAGACGTCTCTCCTCGCGAGGGCACAAGACCTTGTGGGCATGAGCGGCAGCTTTCGTAATGAGTCAGCGTTTGTGCCGCAGGGAGCAAAGGTTTTGCTTTTTTTCAGTTTTAATATTATGAAAGTTTTTTCATTAAGATTCTAATATAGTGCGACTGTTGAGGCTGTAGATGTAAATTGAAAAATGAGACGTAGATGCAAGAATAAAAGGATTTTTTTTGCTTTTGCAAATTTTACTATGTAATTGTGGTTATAGATTGCACTCACAGCATCCGATTGTATATTTTTCATATTAAAGTTCTGTGCTGTAATTGTTTTGTTTTGTTCATTGTTTTTCTTTTCTTTTTGGACGATACTATATTAATTCTGATTACTTTTAGATTGTTTCTATGGCTTTTCATTCAAACTTACTTCTAATTAGTGAAACTTTACAAATATAGAACTAAGAAAATCAAGCAACATGTGAATGTTAGATAGGTCGACACATGATTTAGCTACGGTTTGAAGTTTGGAAGAGCGGTCTTTAATTTTATTCGGAATAGTGTTTAGCAAAATAATAAATTTAAAGTGTTAATAGATTGAAACAAAACCAAAGATAATATTTAGACTAAGAAAACAAATATATATATATATATATATATATAATAACATACAAAGAATACTTAAATTTAAACAGGTTATTATATGGTGGGATGATCCTGGTAAGAATTTCCAGTTAAGAAAATGGTTAAAGCACCCACTTCTAATAATGCAAAATATGGGACCTATTTTTGTATTTGTCCTATACTGTACATTTCCTTTGCAACATATTTCTAAGTTTTTTTACTCTATTACTATACATCTTGTATTGATGGATTGTCAATGTTTCATTGTCTTATGTTTTGTTTATGTTTTATAACTAACTATTGGAAACCCGTGCTCTTAGCTACAAAAAAATATTCATTGAAAATATTTATTAATAACTACAATTAGGAGCTTCCAAGTTCTACGCCTAATAACCTCATAGTGCTACTCTTAGCAATTTGCAACAACAACATGCAGATTTTGATCATCCATTGATCAAAAGTTGAGTTATTAATTCACTTTTGATGAAAACAATGAGATATGCAACCAATTAGAAATGGTTTTTATCTCTTCTAATTTATCTTGTTGGTTTATCTTCATGAGTTATTTTATATAAGAAATAAATATATTTATATGTAATTTTTATAAATCCAAATTATACAATATGACTTATAAAGTTTATAGTTAAAAATATATTAATATAATTATTACATATGAATCAACTTTGAGTAAAAGCAAAAAGATTTTTGTAGAGAATTTAAATAATAAAAAATAAGTTCAAGAATGTGACCAATTTTTCAACCTTGTAATTGTTTTGTGGATTCTAACATGTTAATATTTCAAATTACACTCATGTTTTTTTTCAAAGATAAAAACTATAATTTATTAAGATTTTGCTTGTATATTTAAATGTGTGAAACATAAATACAATAATATATAAATTAAGAGACTAACAAAAGGAAAGAACAAAAAAATAAAATAAGATCATATGATAAATAGAATAACAATTTTGGAACCCTAATAATTATCAAAATCAAGAAAAAATAAAATAAAGTTATCAATTATTGAATCAATTAAATAAATTGATAGAAAATGACATGAAATCTAACATAAAGGATGGATATTATATTGTAGTATGCACTTAATTTAAAATTTTGCTCATATCAATACAATTTTTGCTAGTGTCATTACAATTTGTTATCTATCAAATATCACCAAAATTTTGTTATTACTACCATATATCAAGGATATGAATTTCAAAAAAAAAAAAAAAAAAAAAAAAAAAAATCTCAATATATTCTTATGTCATTCAAAAAGACTAAAAAGTCACTCAAAGAAAATAATGTATTAAATTAGAATGACTATTGCCAAATACAAGAAGACTAGAAAGTCTTGAAACAAGACTGTAGAATAGATATTAATTCGTTTTTGAAAGATATTGATAAAATATATTAATAGTCCATATAATAGGAAATTCAGGAGGACGGATGAGTGATTTAGTTATTAAAAGCGGTTAATTACAGAATTACGGTTAGAATCTTGAGAATCAAGGGAAAGTATATAGGAGTTGTAGAAGTTAATTAAGGTGCCAGACTGTGATAGTCATGAGCCGAGGGCCATCGTTGTGATAGTGTGAGCCGAAGTAAGCTTGGTGCTACTTCTTTTCTTTTGTTTGTTATTATCTTTGAATAAGAGGATTGAGAGTTTCTAAATATTGTGAAGTTAATTATGGAATGGAAATGTGATTGGTATTATTTGAGAAGAAGAAAGATTGAATGTTGAAATCTGATTGTAGTTCAGTAGAGAGAATGAGACTGTGTTTGTGTGAAACATTGTAATGTGAATGGCAGTTTTGTGTGAAGAATTCCAGTGATTGGAATGAGGGTAATTGTGTGCTGAAAGCTACGAGGGCGCAGTATTACAGTTGGAGATTATGAGGGTGAATATATTGGTGGAAATAGTAGTTATTGGTATGACTGAATTATTGTAAGGAAGAGATCGATAAGGTGAAGGAGGAGATTATAGTTTCCTTATGTGTTCAGATATTGGAAATAGAGACGATACATTCAGGAGGTAATTGATTGTGTGACCCTAATGTGAACGCTTAAGCAACTAGTCATTCTCCATGTTCGAATCTCCTTATACAGATTTATTCTGGGAGGTTTCTTTCGGAATAAGTAAAACGAGTAATCTCATTTTGGCGCCGCTGCCAGTGAGTGATAATAGCTTTGAGTGTTAAGAATTAATTACCAAACGTGTGAGAAAATTAGCAATGGAAGACGATTTCAGTAGTGTTTGAAGCAAGATTATGGTTAATAAGAACGAGAGCATTGCATCGAGGAAAATAAATCAATTGAGAGAAAGACAGGGAAGAGTGCAAGGAAGGAACTTGCTTAGAGAGGAGCAAGAACGTAATCTTAAAAGGAAGCATCGATAGAATTGGATTAAATCATGGTTGTAAGCTTGTCGACGCATCCAAATATATCAAGAACCGGATAGATTATTAATTTTGCAATCATATGTACCACTAGAAAAACTGCTAAGAACACTTGCGAGAAATTTTGTTAACATTCCAGTGGAAATCTTGAGGTCGTTAACTGAAAGAAAAAGAGGCGTAGAAGAATTTGGTACTCCATTGGGTATTTTTCCAGTAGAGGGTACCGCTGAAACGAGCAATAGTGGCTCTTCAGAATGGCACAAATTAGTCGCCAATAAAGATAACTATATTGTATTTCAAGATCCGACGTTTTCACCTACAATTCAACCAATAAAACTAATTGCAAAAAATAACAGTAAATCGAGGACCACTGAGAGCTCGGAAATTAGAATAAAAAAAAATAGAGATTATTTTAAAATGGAGTTTAGCGGAATAAGAAATTCAATGGCGTCAAGAGGATCAGCCATTCCGATTGCAGTACAAATGGGTGCAGTAGGCGATCGTATGACTAGTGTTGCACCACTATCTACTTTTCGGGGATTTTTCGATCTAGTATCGGGTACGGATCCCGATCAATATTTGTCTCAATTTCTTACAGCATGTGTAGCTAATAATGGCAGAATTGAAGATATTTGGTTGCGATGGCTGCCAGCGACGTTAAAAGATATGGCGTTTGAATGGTATAACCGCCAACCAGTGGGTCAATTTTCGAATTGGGAAGCATTGAAGAATGCATTTTTATTTCATTTTCGGCCAATAGGTTTTGAAGACTGCCTTTGAGAGAGGTTAATGAATAACAAAATGATCCTAGGGGAGGCGGTGGAATCGTACTATGGCCGAGTGGCTGATATACTCAATAAGTGGCTGAATCACCAAATACCTGAGGCATTTATCTTATCCATATTAATCAATGGTTTGCACCCACCAGAGCTAAAAATGTTTATAAAGAAAGCTCAACCCGTTACGATGGCTGCATCCCTTAATAGAGCCAAGGTTTGGGAGGAATGCCATTATGATCAATTTTTAACTGTAGGAGCCACGATGATTCCAATTCAAGGTAGATATCAAAATCCGACTTGGAACGAATCAATGGATAGTTATCTACGGATGTTAGAAAGAAGGGCCAATTCTAATACCAATATTCAAGGGCCAATTAATGTCACCCCATTGCAAGCTATACCACCAAACATGACAACAGCGTATGCTCTATATTTTCAGTATCAATAACAAGCATTAACTACAGTAGAGATACTAATAATGTTAGTCCTAAAAGATTCTAATGAAACCTTGTTATTGAATTTGATAAAGAAAATGGAAGAAATAGCCGTCAATATGGCTAAAGATAAGGAGAAGACCCAAAAGCCTACCGATACTAGAACCAATATATGGTGTAGTAATTGTAAGGGCCACGGTCATTCTGTAACAGAATGCCCCTCACCTTCACAAATAATGGATCAATGTACATTTTACGGAGGAAAGCACCTAACAACAAATTGTTGGAATTGGCAAAGACAACAACAACAATTTAGTAATCAGACTATGATCCCACCAAACCAGTGGGACATCAATCAAGTGCAAACGGGAAATACGTTTGGATAGAATAGAAATCGATTTAATCGACAAAATCGAGCATTCAATAACTTTCAAAGTTCCAATTTTAATCAGGGATCTGCATCGAACCCCCAGAACTACAGTAAGAAGCAGCATAGGTATCAGTAATATGCTCTATCGATGTCATCAAACCAAGTTCCCTCAGTACCAACGGGACAACTAGAATCATTTTCTTACCTTACATGAAATAAGCCTAGTAGGTATATATCGGTGGAGGCACCTAATATGCCTGATGGGGGTGCAAGAAGACCACTTCGTTGTTTTCGTTGCAGACAGATTGGTCATTATGCCAATGAATGTCCCAATCTCATAGTCAGTGACGATTATGCACAAGTTTGTGGGAATTGTAAGCAGTCGGGGCATACGTATCAACAATGTAATGCTCCGTTCAATGTCAATAATCGGGATCAGTAAATC